AGAGAGAGAGAGAGAGAGAGAGAGATAGAGAGGGAGAGGGGGGAAGAGAGATGGAGGGGGGATAGAGAGGGGTGGAGAACGTGGAGATCAGAAAGACAGACTGACAGACAGACAGATAGACAGAAAGATAGACAGACAGAGACAAATACATTGTACATATAGATATATTGTGTAAAATTAAAGAGATAGTTAAACTTAAATAACTTCACCGGAAAAAAGAGAATTAGCATCCTGAGCAAAACAAAGCTCAGTCAAAAATGTCCAAGACATTCGTAGAACATGTAGTTGTATTAGACAGGTAGACATCTAGAAGAGTGTCATGTTTTAAATTATAGACCAGCAAAAAAGGGAGGATGAGGGGTGGCTTGAAAGGTGATAGTTTCTACAAGTACATGTAACTGTCTAAGGTGGTTGTAAGAGGAAGTTTGACTGTACATGTATATTTTAGGGGCTTCAACAGTTTATCAACTCATGGTGGACACATTAAACGAATAAATGATCGCATAACTACTTACAATTCACGAACAGGTATCCTTTTCGACGCAAAGAAAAATAGCAACAAAAATTCGTCTTTACGGAACCTGTTACGATGTTAAATAACAACGTCCTTGCTTTTTCTGTCCCACATGTCTTTTTCTGGAAGTATTTAAAGAGTTGTTATTTTATTACAACCACGGGAAAATAGCTGGATCCAGAATGCTAGAGACAACAATTCACCAACACTTGGTCTAGACCGTTAATTAGAATTATCACAGAATCTGAAGCCTGACAACTGTTGCACCCTCTCCGGACACAATCCGCCTCTTATACCTCTGGCCTCACGCTTCGTCAACCATCTGGCAACCCAGATCGCACAAGAGTGTGCGGAGTTAGATGCCAGCTTGGCCCGCGAGTCGGCGGGTTGAGAGAGCGAGCGCGAGTGTGTGAGTGTGAGTGTGTTTGTCCACGCGCGCGAGCGTGTGTGGAAAGGTTGGGGGGAGCAGGGAGGTATTTGGTTGAGTTTGGAGTAACCTCCGTGCGAGACTGTGTAAAGTTTCTTCACTTGTGGGCGTCTGGGTTTCGGTGACGCGCGTGAACTGCTGGCTGGTGGCATGTGGCGGTGACTACTAGCCTGAGGGCAACCGGCAACAGACGTTCTGACTTGACGGATGACCGGCAAGTGGGGAGGTAGACAGAGAAATAAATAGACAGACAGAAAGTCTCCTCGTCTGATAGAGGAACTACAGTTAGTAAAACAGGCATTTCGACGGAAAGATGTAAATAGCGGAGAAACAGACGACGGACAGATAGTCTCCTCGCAGGCTGATAGGTGGTAAGGATAACTGACATTCCGAGCAAAAGAGTGACCCATAAGAACAGTGGAGAGGCAGACAAAGAAACAAACAGACAGAACGCCTCACAACCTTATAGAAAAATTTTGTTTATAGAAAAAACAGACATTATGAGGAAATGATCGAGAAAAAGAGCATCGGAGAGGCAGGCAGAGAGGCAGGCAGAGAGTTTAGAAGGCATGTAAACAAAAATAGTGTATTCAAAACACACGACAGAAATATAAAAGATGGCTGAAAAAAGTAAAGCAGAAAGTAATGATAAAGGTCCTATGGAAACACACATCAGAGAAATAAAAAATAAATGACAAGACAACGTGCAGGTAGACGTACAAATAGGAGGACAGACAAGTGGAGAAGGAGAAAGGGAAATAGACGAAAAGTCTCGCAGGCTGATAGAGGGGTTGTGGTTAGAAAAAGCATTCTGACGAAAAGAGCGATCGGTAAGAATAGTGGAGACGCAGACGAAGAAATAGACGGACAGAAAGCCTTGCAGCCTGAAGAGAGGAGTAAAATTATGGTTTAAAAATACCCAGACATTTTAAAAAGAGCAACCGCTAAGAATAGTAGGGAGGCAGACAGAGATACTGACATGGAGCCCAGCAAGCGTGTAAAGGAATGGTGATGTTTTCAATATACCAGACAGAAATAGACATCACAAAAAGGTAAAGGAAGGGGAAATGACATAAAAGAGAAATATAAAGGTTGAATGAAAAGACATACTAACGCGCAGGTACGGTAGACTAGACGTTCAGACGAATAGAACTACAGATAAGTGAAGAAGCAGACAGAGAAAGAGACAGACATGAAGTCTAGTAGACAGATAGACAAAACATTGTCAGCAGAACAGATATTTAGTCAGGCACATCGACCAGAAGGGGGAGAGGCAGGCAGAGTATTAGATAAAAAAAAGATAGCGTAGCAGACTAATACACTGACTAATAGAAAGAAAAACAGAATAAAATAAAGTATTGATGAACATACAAGATTAGATCTATACTGAAATTCGTTTATAAAGGATGGCCAAAAAGTGTTACTGACTAATTGTCAGAATGACAAACGATTGGACCTACAGAACAGCAGTCTAGCAAGGTGGCACATGTACACAAATTAGAGTATAGTCAGAATGACAGAAATTAATCTAAAGGCTGAATGAAAAGGCGTAAGAGAAGAAAAAATCAAAGGTAGATGGAAAGATATAATAGAAAGAAAAATAAAGAATAAAAGAACAGACATATAGCAAAAAGAGATATAGCAAGGTTCAATAAAAAAAAGACATAGATCTAATAGAAATAAATATAAAGGGTGTAGGAAAAGATATAACAGAAAGAAGCATACAGAATGGATGAGATGTAAAGACTTATCGACTTGTAGTCAGAAAGATAAACATTCAGACGGATAAAGCGAGTGACATGTGATGAAGCGGACAGGTAAACAGACAGAAAGGCAGTTTTGCAGAGTGAAAGACGAATTCTAGTTAGAAAAATAATTTACATAGAATGGTAAAGAATGTCGCAAAATACATAACAACGGGTAATCAGAAAAATAGGTGAGCAAAAATCCGGCCAAAGAACAACACAAACAAGAGGACAGGCACAGCCTTTCATCATATTGAGGACGTGCCCAAGAGGTTTTTGTACTGTGGTATAACCTTTTTTGGGACGTGCTAATCTCGAAGGCGTACTGTTTTGGGGCATACAATTTTTATCCAAAAAGATTATTCAACTCTGTTTTCTCTGTCCAAAAGTTCTGTGCAAGAACATTCATACTGCCTGAATTGTACATTCGTGTTTCTATTTTATATAATATGATGGTTTGAAATATGCCTCAATAATTGTCATTGGTCTGTTGCTGATTGAACGTCATAATAATAAGAACAATAATAATAATAAAAATGATAGTATTAATAATAATAATAATAATAATAATAATAATAATAATAATAATAACAGTAATGATAATAATAATAATAGTAATAATAGTAATAGTAATAATAATAATAATAGTAATAATAAAAATAAAAATTAATAATAATAATAGTAATAATAATAATGATGATAATAATAACAACATCAACTACAACTGTTATGATATATTATTGTGTCCGCTTCGTAAGCCATAGTTAAGATGAAGACCAACAGACGGCCACGAAAAAGAACGGGGAAAGTACAGGGAGAAAGTTGCTCCGGATTTCAGTCATCAGAAACACAAGGCATGACCGACACAGTACTTTGATCAATTAGTTGTTTGTTTTTGTTTTTCAAGAGTAGTTCTTAATATGTAAAACCATTGAAATAGAAAAGATGGGAATGTGTGTTGTGACTCTGTTTTGCAATCATCAGTAGGCTGTATGTTAATTCAATCCTGGCGTAAGGTTTGGGAGCCTGTTCTGTGCCGATTTTTCACAATCATTATCAAACACGTTTCGACATACTTTTTTTTATTCAGTCAAAGCTGATTGCTTGTATTGTTTCGTTGATGCTGTTGTCTTTGTTTTGATTTATTGTTTCGGCAGCTGGCTCACGCACTTCTTCGCCCGAGAGCAATTATCTTGAAGCATTGCTTGATTATTTGCACAGTGACAGCTGCTGTAAAATATTATGTGTAACAGTGGGGTGAAATCAGGTGCTTGCCGAAAAAATGAATTTGAAGAAAAAGGCTCCGGTTCGGGAATTTTCATCCAAGTTTTGTTTTTTGGTTCAACACCTTTCATATCCTTTTAAGAACACAACTCAGTGTAGACTTGAATGAAAAACGCTGATTAAAAGCACCAAAAAAAGTGAATTTTCAGTTTCCACGGACTCGCAAGCGATGTAAAGGACTAAATTTTGGCAGCTATTTTTTTGCTAATTTTACCTCGGAAACCAGGCACCCCCACCTCCGTCAATTGTAGACGGATCAAGTAGTTTTTAAAATGAATGGATATGTACTGAAAGTAAGACAAATAAACACGGTTTAAGATGATACCAATAACTGCAAATGCCCCAAAATTGACGAGCGCCTGATTCCACCGCGTTGTGACACACATTATTATTGTCGTTGCTGTTGCGTTTTCTTCTCTTTTGTACGAGCAATTGGAGAGACCGTTTTGTGAAGCAAGCTATAGATCTACCTTTATCTATTTGTTTTTCAACGTTGCTGTTGTTTATATAGCTACTATTGGTTTTTAAGTTGTTTCAACGCTAAGTAGATTTATAAATGGGGGCTGGGTCTAGAGGCTTGGGTGTTCGCCTCTTATTCAATAGGTTCGAGGTTCGAATCGGGATAGAGATGGAAAATTTGCTTTTCTAAAATGCTATCCTTTCCTGCTCTCTAACAATGTTCTGTCGTCTTCTTTCGCCTCCACTTTCTCCCCTCACCTCCTTTGCCCCCTCCTCTGGGCTACTTGCTTTTTCTGCAGCCTTTCTACTGTTACTCCTTGGTTCGTTCTTACAACTGTCTTTCAGCCACACCCATGATCTTATGGTAGGTAAGATCTACACCTAGCCTTCTCGGATAAGGGTGAAAAAATCGCGGAGATCACGTGTGCAAGTCGACCACGTTAACAATCCCTTGGTGGTCCAAAAATCGATAAGAATAGACTTCGTTCGCCACCCTTGCAAAATTCAAAATTTTCTGCCTACTGAAATATATGTTTAATGTGTCCCGCGTGCTCATATCATCTTATGCAGTTGCGAGCGCCGTAAAACACTTACCAAAAAGAAAATGTCCAGCACACCTTCTACGGGCTAAGTAACTTTGAATATCTGAACAAGACAGAGAAAGAATGTTTTACCGAGCGGGTTAACTGACTCACTATCAGTCTTACAAGCCATAGAAAATGGCCATCATCTAAACCAAAATTTGACGCATATACTGTTTGGCTCCCATCATCTGATAACATTCTGTGGCATCAACCTAGTAATGCAGTGGGTCCCCGGACACTCAAACATACCTGGAAAGGACAGAGCAGACACACTTGCCAAACGGGGATCTAGACAGGAACAACCCAACTTTCCAACTTCATACAACACACAAGATTGGATGAGCAGATGGGCCCTGAGAAAGACAAACAGAGCAATTTTCAAACATATGACCACAACAAAAAGGAATGACAATATCAGCCCCGTACAGAAAAAGAAACAGACTGCAATTTTCCACCTACGAACAGAAAATATACAGCTCAACTTCCACCTGAACAGAATAAACCCGGAACTTCCCCCAATGTGTCCCGTGTGTGACTATGCATATGACACTGTGGATCATCCCCTGTTTCACTGCACAGCTCTTAATGAAATAAGAGCTACCTTTCTCCCTCCGAGACCTAACATTGACAACACACTCTATGGAACATTACAGCAACTGCTGCTAACATGCACTTATCAGTACATGGCATTGGACAGAAGGGCAAGAGCCCAGCTGTTTCTGGATTCTGGATCGATAACAACTACAACAACAACAACAACTGAGCGGGTTGTCCAAGCACATGAGACACGTATTTACTAAAGTCCTGTCTTGTTGGGCGCATTCGTGAGTGCAGTAAGGTCTACTGCC